GGGAGCTTGAAAAGATTCGTCAAAGGTGATAAGATGCTGGACCTTATTTTTCTTTTTAAGTTGTATGGTCATATCATTGTATATGTATATCACGCAGCCAGCTTTGCAGACCCTGTCCATAGCATGCATTGGAGGGTATGAACACAGTTAGCATGCTGTGGTATAGAATAGGTGATTCTGCTGATATATTATGTAATCCTTTTCTCAATACTGCTAAAAAGACTTAGCTCAATTGCCCGTTAATCAGTGAAATTGATAGGCCCAAATAGAATTATGGAATTTGCTTGTGCAGATGTTAACTGCCTCAATAGATAGGTTTGGGATTGCTTATGCTTGGGAAAGGATTTCAATCACCTTTTCTTTATTGATGGATTGTTATGTCATAAAAAGACATCTTTTGATGCTTAATTGTATGTTTGGCAATGTACTGATGATATTTATCTCTGCAGAGAAGCTGATATGACAAAAGAGCGTATTGAGAAACTTCTGAAAGTTGGAGCAAATGTTATTCTGACCACAAAGGGGATTGACGACATGGCACTCAAGGCAAGAATCTTTGTGATTTGTTTCTCCAACTTTTTTATTTTGAAGTACTAGATTAATAACACTCTAATAAAATATCCTGCACTCTCTCTTTTATTTTGTTTTTTTTTTTTTTTTTTTTTCTTCTAAGGAGTCCATGATGATTTTTATGGATTGCAAATAGCAGCTCCCTTATTATCATTATTTTTAAGTCTTTATATATTATGGGTTAATTTTAGCTTGGTCATATGCCTTTGGACCTGGCCAAAAATTTGAATGGCTGAACACTCACGGTTAATGTTTTTGGCAATTGTTTTTCTTTTGTAGGTTCTCTTATTCGAAAATTGTGTATCATCTTTACGATATGTTACTCTTATCCTCTTCAATACGTGTTTATGCCTATAAGATATGCTGTTGTTTAATACAGAAATGCAGAAGTTTGAGGTCTCAACATAACCATGTTATGAGACGAACTAGTAGTTGTACTCTCTTTATTTTAACTCCTTTATCGTTATTCGGCATACAATGAGCTATGAAAATACAAAATACAAATGTACTTCTATATATTTCCGGCATGGGTATATGAATGTTTATCACATGCACCAGGTGTATTAAGCTGGGCAATTGCATAAACTTTGTATCCTTGATTGTAATTTCAGTATTTTGTGGAGGCTGGGGCTATTGCTGTCAGACGTGTTCAGAAAGAAGATATGCGCCATGTTGCTAAGGCTACAGGTGCAACAATGGTAATATTCTTCATGTGCTTCTCTAATAGTATAATTGTCTAGCGGATTAATTTTCATTTGGATTTATTTTGGAGTACAGCTATCACTCGTGTTCAATGGAAATAGTTTCTTTTGCAATACTATTTTCTTTTGGAATCATCATGTGTCATGTCCTGATCATCAGCCTATAAATTGAAAACAATACATAAATATGCAAAAAAAATTTGTGAAGAAGCTAAATGTAAATTTTCAGTGGAATACTTGAAGACAATACATCAGCGAACTCTTGAAACAATACATCGGTGTAGTACTAAACAATACTTAATCGAAAGCAATCAACTTGTTCACAAATGTTTTATTTATTTTATTTATCAGAAAGTAGATCCATATGTTGTATAATTATGTCATCTTGGTTTTGTTTTTTATCTGTAGGTTTCAACTTTCGCTGATATGGAAGGGGAGGAAACGTTTGATACGTCACTTCTTGGATCTGCAGATGAAGTTGTGGAGGAGCGCATTTCTGATGATGATGTGATTTTGATAAAAGGAACCAAAAATAACAGTGCAGTGAGTTTAATTAATTTTTAACATTTTTCTGTGCTTGACGTTGAGTTCTAATTGCTTCAAGTTTTTGTGAAGTTTATACATTTATATGTAGGACATTATCTATAATCTTATGGTATGGACTGATTTTCTGAATATATTCTTTTCAGGTGTCATTGATTCTCAGAGGTGCAAATGACTATATGCTTGATGAGATGGAAAGAGCTCTTCATGATGCTTTGTCTATTGTCAAGAGGACTCTAGAATCTAACACGGTATAATTTATTTACTACATAAGTGATAAGAAAAGGATCAGAACCATTTTAAATTTACTTTCTTCTGAACTAAATTATATTTGACGCTATTTTTTATTAATGAGGTATTTTTTTCATGCGAAATGGGTTTTATGGTTATTTATTTGATTTGTGCAATGCAATTTTTTGGGGGAGGTGTGGAAGAACTTGAAATGTATTTTTCAATGGAAATATGAAGATAAAACTGTGAAGGTTTCACCACCGAGTTTGGTGGTCATCTTTTCATTGAGAGTTTCTTGTTATTTATCTAATTCATTGATGTATTTACCATACAGGTAGTACCAGGTGGAGGTGCAGTTGAGTCTGCATTGTCTCTGTATTTGGAGGGTTTTGCTACAACATTAGGATCACGTGAGCAGTTGGCAATTGCCGAGTTTGCTGAATCTTTGTTGATTATACCAAAGGTTCTAAACATCTTATTGCAAATTGTGTATTTTTGTTGTGTTCTGCTATTTTTCGTATGTTAATGGTGTTTCTATTGCGACTTTTATCTGGTTTAGGTTCTTGCTGTCAATGCTGCCAAGGATTCTACAGATTTAGTTTCAATACTACGGGCCAACCACCACAGGGCACAAACCAAGGCAACAAACAGGACTGACAAGAAGGACAAGGATTATTCTAGGTATTTTCTGAGTATTGTCGGGGCATTCTGCCCAATTTTATATTATTGGTTTCCACAGTTGTCATTGTTTGCGGTGTCTGTATATTGAATTCTGTAGCATTGTCATTATACTTGCTCATATGCAACAATAGACTTACAAAAGTAAGCCAATATGATAACAGTGCAACTAAAATTATATTCCGTCATATGATTCTTGGGTGCATAAAATCCTTGCACATTCTGTGACTACATACTTATGGTGAATGCTCTACTATTGTTGCAGCATGGGCTTGGACCTATTAAAGGGAGAAGTTCGTAACAACCTAGAAGCCGGAGTCATTGAGCCTGCAATGAGTAAAGTGAAGATCATTCAGGTACCAAATCCTACATACAAATCAGTAATAATTTAGGATAATCTGTGAAGATAGATAACTAACAGCCTTGCAATGTTTGTAAACTTCAAACTTTTTTGGTTTGGCAGTTTGCAACTGAAGCAGCTATTACAATTCTCCGAATTGATGACATGATCAGGCTAGCCAAGGATGAAAGTCAAGAGGGTTAGGTTTGAACTTTTCCTTGTCTGTTTGTTTCCGGAGTAGAATGTCGATGGGTGGGAAGTGAGTCTGTGCCCGAAGAGGACTTAACGGTTTACATTCGTTGCGTGCACTAGAAGAATCAGATGGAGGATTTTGGTCATGTAGTTTTGTGTGGGAATTACGATTACTATTAAACCCAAATATTCAGGGAACGGTTTGGTCTGGTTAGAGGAAGTGGGTTTTGGGGGTGATGGAGAAATTTATTATTAACCGATGTCGGCTTTCCAATTTAACCCCCAACTTTGAAATGTTTTGTATGATTAGTGACTGGATATTTGCAGAATCTCTGGCCGTTGTCCGTTGAGAATTCATTGTGATATTCTTAAAAGCCATGGGGAATGCCTTGACACCAAAAACCTACTCGAAAAATCCCCAGGAAAATCTCTTACAGTAGCTGCTCTTAGCTTGTTGCCCTAGCCTACCAGTTTCACCCTCCCCAACAAAACAATACGGAATTCGTGACTCTTTATTTGTTCCGTGTTATTTTTCGAGTTTTGATCCGTGAGATTTTATTTTTAAATTATTAATCTTTGAACACATATCTCATTATTTATATAGTAACATGTAGTGTGTATCATCTGTGTTCTAGTTACACAAAAAATCCTTCCCCCTGCCTGTAAATGGACTCGAATCCTCTCCAGATCCGTTCCCAGGAGATCCTCGGGTCGGGATCCTTCAAGAATAAGCGTTTGATAAAAACTGAACGGTCAGGATTAGTTGGAATTATTTTTCCTCTCTGTGCGAAACGAAACGCCTCTCTCATTTACCATCTTCTCTTCACCATTTCTCACTCTCCAAGCAATTTATTTCAACGTTTGGGTATTTTCTGATCACGCTTATAATCCATAAAAGTAAATCGCAGGAATGATCTTTTAATTTTAATTAAATTGAAGTAATGATTTTTCAATTAAGAATCTATTACTATTGGCCTTTCAACTTATTAAAATGTGTAGATATAGTCATTTTCATCAATTTTGTCAAAATAAATTATGTTGGAATAACTATTTATATAATAAGGGTTTCCTCAACTTATCAAAGTGTAATTATGGTCATTTTCGTCAATTACGTTAAAAAAAAAAAAAAAAACAAGTTATGTTGGAAGGATCATTACTACAATTGGATTAAAGTTAAAAGATTATTTCTCCAGTTGAATTAAAGTTGAGGGACAATAGATTTTTAGTTGAAGGATGATAACTTCACGTTTTGATGAGTTGATGGGGTATTGTTCCAATTGAGTTAAAATTGAGAGACATAATTTACACTAACCCAGAAATTAAAATTTCCGAACCGCCCAGCAATAGATTGCAGAGAGAAAGAAGAAATTTGTCAAATTTCGGATTTAACGTGAAACCCATTCAGGGAGAAAAAGAAAAAGGAAATAGATCACTCGAAGGCTTGAGGAGACCCCCGCTAAAAGGGACTAACGAGTGCAGAGTTGAAAGAGGAGAGAGAGCCAGATTATTTATTTATTTTTTGGTGAAATTGAAATGGTTTCTGGAAAATGAGAGGAGAGAGGGAAGAAAAACTGATCGAGTTTCGAACTTTTTGATGTGGAATTGAGGGAGAAGAGATAGAGGAAAGAGAGGCTTTTTGATGTGAAAACCATTAAAAAGAAAAATTAATTGACAGCCGTAGGATGTGCATCAAACGGCCCATATAAAATCGGTCCGGAGGCGAGATGACCCCCTGTATATAACACAACGGATATGAGGATATGAGGGGTACAAACTTCATCCATAAGCGTTTGCTGTCAGTGGAAGAAGAGAAAGTAAGAATGGCTTGTGTAGGTGTAACCATGACCATGGCGGCATCGTTTGGTCTGAGATACTACCCATCGTGCTCTTACCCAACTCAACTCAATCACGGCTCAGTTCAACTCGGTAACTTCAGGAGGCCCAAACCCTTGAGACTCAGTTCCTCGCAATCGCATAGCATTTCTGGGTTGGACTCGCTTCTTCCCCACAAGCTCTGCACTATCAATTTCACCCCTCCTCGCCGCCTTAGCTCTCTTACCATCGTCTCCGCCAAGGGCTACAAAATGAAGACCCACAAGGTATTGCTCGTCTTTTTTGTTTGGTTACTCAGAAAATCTTTGGAAAATAAGCAATTTGGAATCTGGAGTTGATACTGTGATTCTCTTCTTTATTGGTATAGTAGTGAATTCGAATTTGATAATAGTCCACCGCATAAATTCTTACTGAAACCTTGAACTGTGAATTCCCCCAATCAAATCCAACTTGGGCCATTGTTTCTTGTTGTTTAATTGTTAGCTTGAAAATTTTATTTGTTTTGACATCTAGGTAGTAAGTATTTGGTGAATTCTTGTTGATAGGCTTCGGCGAAGCGCTTCAGGGTGACGGGTAGAGGAAAAATAGTTCGGAGGAGAGCTGGAAAGCAACATTTACTTGTAAAGAAGAATGCCAAGAGGAGAACTCGACTCTCCAAAATGGTGCGTTTTGTATAACTTATCTCCACTTTCAATTAGTATATATTTCCCTCCACTTTCAATTGTCTAGTGTTTTGTTATAGAATGATTTTCTTTGAAACATTCAACGTTTGAATTTAAGGGCTTGTTCTGAACCCTGATTACTTTTAGAACCAGTTCAAGTGAAACTTGAGCAAGAAATGGTTTCTTCTCATGTATCAACAATTTGTTCGTGAACTTTGAAAAAAGTGGTGCATAGTTTGCAATCGCTTTATCATTTGTTCTTGTTCTAGAGAAATAATGATTGTCTTCTCATCCATTACCCATTTGAGTTTGCCATCTTGTCTATTGTATGCTTCATTTGTTCATAGCATTTATCATTATCAGTGTGATTTTTCTTATTTTTTTGAGTTGGCTTGTTTTAAAGCTCAACTTCAAAATGCAAGGCAATACCCTCAATAGCTTGCAATTTGGAAAGAGTGAACTGTTGAAATTGGGAAAGGAGAAGCTTTGGAGTGATCTCTTCATGGGAAAAGGGAAAAAAATAATGTTTTCTTATGTTACTTGGTTCTTATAAACCCATCTAGCTCGTCCAAATGAACGCATATAGCTCATCTAAATGTATCATAGGTCCATAGCCCACCAATTATCCAGCACTTAACCCACACACCCCCACCATCTAGATGCCCACGGGTTTAGTACTGCTACTTGGTTTCTTATGTTAGTTTGGCTTTTGCTATGTGCAGCATGCAGTTAGTCGAAGTGACTATGACAACGTGATTGGAGCCTTGCCATACCTAAAAGTAAATAGGAAGGCAGAGTAAAGGTGATTTCCAAACTTGATGCAAATGGAATTTCTGACATGTACTCTTTTATTTCTCAAATCTTTGTACGAGTGTTTGATCTTTTTTATTTTCTTCAATGATCTTTATTTCCTTGTCTATTGAGGGTGTTGGTTACATTTTCAACGTACGGACGTATATCATGGAAACACATTTTTTATGTAGTTTCCTCTTTTGCAAGATTCTAGAACTTGGGTCTGCTGGAAAATGACAATATGATAACATGCTATGATGCATTTTATTCTATGTACTTCATTTTGGCCTAGTTGCAAGTGAGACGGAGTGTCAGTGTTGTGCTATGAATTGCAAACTTATATTTATTATTGATAGAATGGGTCTATCTTCTTTTATTTATCATTCATCGACCATCGTACCATGGAAGGATTAGTTTTAGCATTTGTGTGCGGATTGTTTAACTGCTGTTACATCGTGCACTTAGTCTTCCCTGTGCGTTAAACTGGGGTGTGGTAATACTGTTATAGAGAAGGTGATGAGGTAATAGTATGGTTAATAGTTATGGATAATTAGATGTCTAGCGGGTTCTCATTTTTTGACTGTTGCCAAGGTGCTTTGGAATCCTGGATCCCCCAGTTTCCTAAATCTTGTGGTTTACTCAGTTACTGATTGAACTGAATTGAAAATGCTAGCTAGGTATGTCAACTCTTCAACTAACTTTTCAAATTTTAATTTCACTTTAAGTTCATCTTATCTTGTTGGGGCCAAGTTTTACTTTCCACCTCTACTAAACAATGATTAAAATATTTCGGGCGACCCAATTTGCTAAATTGAAAAGGTATTGACTCAGCATGAAGTGCATGGTATGGAATTGTAGGGGGTCTTAGGAGACCTGATTTTAGTAGTAATTTTAGTTTTTTTTACTCGCTTGAAACTAAGATGTCCATAGACAAGGTCCAAAGCAATTTCTACGGTAAGCACTTTGATCAGGTTTTTTTGCTGCAATCCCGCTGGCAGAGCTGTTGGGGTTTGTTTGTTCTGGAACTCATCTTCCATTAGCATTACTGTTTTAAGCTCTTCACCTCGTTTTATCCACTGTGTAGTTAAAGATTTGCATAATGATAAGGTGCAATTCATTACCTTTGTTTATTCTTATCCTCATAAACATTTAAATAATGTAACCCCTGTTAGAAAAGGCTCTTGTTCCTTCAAATTTGAATCTATGGTAAAGATAAGCTTTTAACCTCTCTCTGTGATATTCAAAATAAGGTTATGAGGGATCAAGATAACTCTATAAGCATGGATGAAGAGGTTAAAATTAGAAGTGAGCTTAACAGAGTTTTACAGTAAGAGGAAATTATGTGGGCTAAAAAAGCCAAGGTTAAGTGGCTTCAATTGGGAGATGCAAATACTAAATATTTTCAATTGGTGGCTTCTATCTGTAAGAAAAGAAATGAAATAAAATGTGTTAAAAATAGTAATGGTTTCTGGTGGAATTCTGGGGAAGGTTTAGAGCAAGTTTTTGTGCAGGAATTTAAACAGCGTTGTTCTTGTGATAGCTCCCCTTCTCAGGAGACATTGGCTACAATGGTTGATATCGTAACTCCTTGCATTGATCATATGCATAATATGCAACTACTTGAATGTATTTCAAGTGAGGAAATTTGGGAAGCAGTGAATAGCACTGGTGCTTTCAAAGCACCCGAACCTGATGGTCTTTGTGTTGCTTTTTACCAAGGTTGTTGGGAAGAGGTTAAAGATATTATTATTCCTATGATTAAAGATTTCTTTCAAAATAATTCAAGCCTAAGGTTTATTAATCATACAAATATTGCCTTAATTCCACAAGTGGATAATCTTGAAACTGTGTCCAATTAAAGACCCATTTGTCCTTGTAATGTTAGTTACAAAATTATAATGAAAATTATTATTAAAAGGCTTAAGCCTTTGCTTGACCTATGCATTTTTGCTAATCAAGGTGCCTTTACTCTGGGGCATTCCATTCACGATAATATCTTAATTGCCCATGAGTTATTTTCCAGCTTCAAGGTAAAGAAAGGCAAGATGGGAACCATGGTAGGATTAAAAGCACACCACAAAGTAGCACACAAATGTCCTATTAATTTTCCTTATTAACACTAAGATTTGTCAATTGTAGCATATGAAAATAAGGGTCTTTCCTGCAGAAGATTGTTTTATCTAATTACTTAAAACGTCACAAAAACTGGGTTGTTGTCCCTACTGACCAGCCACCGAAAAATAATTATTAGACCGACTTACACTTATCTAAAATCTACGAAATTTTATATGCAGAGACTAGACACATAGAGCTACACTCATACAAATTTTTGGGATTTTTGGAGTTGATTTGCTATTTAAATTAAATCAAACAAAAACAGGACAAAAACAAATTTTAAGTAGTTCGCAAATTAAGAGAAACGAGTTAGGGGAATTGTTATCCACCACCAAATAATCATGCAAACATGTTATGTTTCATTCAAATTCCTTCTATTTCCGGATGAAGATGCTTAAGTTGGCTCAATGTTAGAACTCAACCTATTACTCTTTCTTATGTAGTATGTTAAGAGAATGACATTTTCAACTTAACTTAGTCCCTAGCATACAATCTAGAATGGCGTGTTCATAGATTTAACAAGTAGAAATCATTAAGAATGAAAAGAGTTTGAGTCATCACAAGGCATCGTAAGTACTAACGTTGTCTTACTTATCCTAGAAATTGGTTCACATGTTAATCGCAATTAACAAGTACTACTCTAGGACATATGTAGGTCCTCATTTGACAAGGGCAGGCACACACATATTCATAGCATTAGAATCCTAGATATGCTTACTAAGTATGCATCCGTAGAAAACACATAAAGAATTCATCAATGAGACAAGTAGTGAACCAATTTTCATCCATTTATAAAAGTAATTCAAACGAAATGTCATAACAAACTTGCAATCATATTCGGGGCTTCAAACAGCCCCTAACTACTAAAAATTTAGTTACACAATCCTTAAGTTAAAACAAAAAATAGACATGAGTTTGAGAAAATAGAACCGAAAGAAATCGACTAAGGCTCCCTCCTTTCCTTCCTTCCCCAATGCTACTTTTAAACCAATTCTTGCTGCATCATTTTCTTCTCCTTAACTCACCCACTAATAGCCATTTAGTGATGACAATAAGTGAGAGGAAATGTAAAACAATTGTAACTCCTTAGGTAGTCTTTATGTCAATTACTCCCTCTTAATCTTCATCTTTAATTCCATTTCCTCTGATATTTGAATAGGTGTCAGCTGGTTTGTTCTTGACTGCATCAGTTTTGGCTGCTAGATTTATTGGATTTATTGCTTTCAATGCTTTCTTGTCAGTTACAAACTGCTCAGCCTCTTGGCAACCTTTCAGTGTTAAAATGACCATAACTTCTTCTAGAAAAATGATATTAACAATCCGCGAAATGCTCCAGAAAATAGACATCCGTAGCTTTCCAAGCATATAAGGCTCATTCTCTAATTCATTCTGAGCTGTCTGCAACTTGCTTCCAAAGTCAGCTGACCTGCACAGGCAGTTTTGACGAATTTGTTACTTAAAATTTCACTTGTGTTATTTTTCTTTTCTTTGCTTGACAAATCCTACAAAACACAAAAACAATGTAAATAACTCAAAAATATAAGGAACTAACTAAGAAAAGACAAGTGAATTTGATATAAAAAATATATAAATATGAGCTTATCAAACCATGGGTATTAAACTGGACTTGGAAAAAGCCTATGACCTTTTAAATTGGGATTACATAAGGTATGTTCTAATTCGCTTTGGTTTTAATGAGAAATGGATCAACTTAATAATAGAATGCATTACATCAATTTCTCCATTTTAATTAATGGCTCTTCGCGTGGTTATTTCTATCCTAAACGTGGCATACGACAGGATGACCCCCTGTCACCTTACATTTTTATTTTATGTATGGAACCGCTTATTAGATATTTTAATCGTTTGGCTTCTACTCCTAAATCCCCTCCTGGGAAAAATCCTATCGTCCCCAGGGGTTTTCAGATTTTTGAACCCAGTTTTTGCAAATGATTGTCTACTTTTTGCCTGAACTACCCCTAAGACCATCTCCAATGGTGACCTAAAACCTCAAAATATTTAGCCCAGAAAATTTAGGTTTTAGCCCAGAAACAGTTTTTCTACTCCAACCATTCTGACCTAAAATTTTAGCCCTAGATTATCAAAGAATGAATTAAGGCTAATTTTTTTTTAAATTAACTTTTTTTAAAAAAAAAAAAAATTATGTAGACTATCTTAAATTAATTTTATGAACATTTTAACCTAAAAATATTTAAATTCCAATCAATTTTGAAAAATCACTAAATCAATACATGAAAATCATGATAAACCACATAAACTTAAAAAAAAAAAGAAAAAAAAAAGACAATTAATAAACCACATAAACTTAATACAATAAAAAACTCATAAACTACATAAATTTAATAATGATATCCATCATCTTGACTTGGTGATGGACTTGGGTGATAGTCTTGAGATGAATCATCATCTTGAAATATACTTCTTGTGGCATTCCTTCATAAAATTTCCTTTTGTTTACCACGTAAGTATTTCTTCCTCTTTGGAGTGTATTTGTCAAGGTCCTCCATTATCAAATTAGTTTCGTACCTTTCTTGCTCCCTATCCCCTTCTTCCTTCATGGCCAAAAACATTTGGGCCGATTCTTCTTACCGACGGCACTGGTTTTCTTTCATTCTTGCCATTTCGCTAGCAAATTGTGCACGTATCGGATCCTGGGACTTCCCTTTTCTCCTTACTTCCTTTTGCTTATCTCTACTTGGGAGCCTTGGAAAAGAAGAAGTTGGGCTCATTTGGTCGACACCTTCATTGTCGGCAAAATTCACACCTTCATTGACATCATTTTGGGGGTGGGGCTTCATTATGAAATAATATTCCACATTGTTGATTCGCATTGGTTCCCCACCTCGGACAATCCTTGAGGATGTTCCAAGCATGATGCAACTTAAAAGCTCGATTTTTTGGTGTAGTTCTTGTCCTGTAAATTGCCATTGCTTTGTCACCCTATGCAACAAATACATAAAAATAATTAGTTGCAAAATATTATTATGTA